TGGGATTTGGGAATTCTGGGATTTGGGGTCGGGAATTCCGGGATTTTGGGCCCATTCCGGGATTTGGGGTGGAGGATTCTGGGATTTGGGGTCAGGAATTCTGGGATTTGTCCCCATTTGGGATTTGGGGTGGGGAATTCCAGGATTTCGGGCCCATTTCGGGATTTGGGGTCAGGAATTCCAGGATTTCGGGCCCATTTGGGATTTGGGGTCAGGAATTCCGGGATTTGTCCCCATTTGCGGTTTGGGGTCAGGAATTGTGGGATTTTTCCCATTTTGGGGTTTTTCAGGGTCAGAAATTGTGGGATTTTTCCCGTTTTTTGGGTTTTCCAGGGAGAAGGTGACGCGGGCGTACCGGAAGTGTTTGGGGTCAGGAATTGTGGGATTTTTCCTGGTTTTGGGTTTTTCAGGGTCAGGAATTGTGGGATTTTTCCTGTTTTGGGGGTTTTTCAGGGTCAGGAATTGTGGGATTTTTCCCGTTTTTGGGTTTTCCAGGGAGGAAGTGACGCGGGCGTACCGGAAGTGTTTGGGGTCAGGAATTGTGGGATTTTTCCCGTTTTTGGGGGTTTCAGGGTCAGGAATTGTGGGATTTTTCCCGGTTTTTGGGTTTTTCAGGGAGGAAGTGACGCGGGCATACCGGAAGTGTTTGGGGTCAGGAATTGTGGGATTTTTCAGGTTTTTGGGTTTTTTCAGGGTCAGGAATTGTGGGATTTTTCCCGTTTTTGGGGTTTTTCAGGGAGGAAGTGATGCGGGTGTACCGGAAGTTGGCCGTGCTGTGTTTGGGTTCTGGAATTGTGGGATTTTTCCCGTTTTTGGGTTTTTTAGGGAGGAAGTGACGTGGGCGTACCGGGATGGGATTTTTCCCATTTTTGGGATTTGGGATCAGGAATTTTTTTGGTTTTTTAGGGAGGAGGTGACGCGGGCGTACCGGAAGTTGGCCGTGCTGTGTTTGGGGTCAGGAATTGTGGGATTTTTCCCATTTTTGGTGTTTTTCAGGGAGGAGGTGACGCGGGCATACCGGAAGTTGGCCGTGCTGCTGCACCCCGATAAGTGCCTGGCCCCGGGCAGCGAGGACGCCTTCAAGGCCGTGGTCAACGCGCGCACGGCGCTGCTCAAGAACATCAAATAGGGGATTCTGGGAAAATTCCGGAATTCCCAGGAAAAATTCCCAAATTTCCATGGAATTCCAACCGAAAAATCGCCAAATTTCCACAGAATTCCCACAGAAAAAATCCCAAATTTCCACAGAATTCCCACGGAAAAAATCCCGGATTTCCACCGTTCCCAACCTGCACGGTGATGCTCAAGAACATCAAATAGGGAGAATTCCCAAATTCCTGGGAAAAAATCCTGAATTTCCATGGAATTCCAACCAAAAAATCGCCAAATTTCCACTGTTTTTCCATGGAAAAATTCCCGGATTTCCATGGTTCCCGACCGCAAGGTGCTGCTCAAGAACATCAAATAGGGAATCCTGGGAAAATTCCGGAATTCCCAGGAAAAATTCCCAAATTTCCATGGAATTCCAACCAAAAAATCGCCAAATTTCCACAGCTTTTCCATGGAAAAATTCCCAGATCTCCACCGTTCCCAACCTGCACGCCGCTGCTCAAGAACATCAAATAGGGAGAATTCCCGAAAAATTCCCAAATTTCCATGGAATTCTAACCAAAAAATCGCCAAATTTCTGCAGAATTCCCATGGAAAAAATCCCAGATTTCCACCATTCCCAACCCGCACTGCACTGCTGAAGAACATCAAGTAGGGAATTCTAAGAAAATTCCTGAAAAATTCCCAAATTTCCATGGAATTCCAACCAAAAAATCACCAAATTTCCACAGAATTCCCACAGAACAATTCCCGGATTTCCACCGTTCCTGACCCGCACTGCACTGCTGAAGAACATCAAATAGGGAATTTCCGGAAAATTCCCAGATTTCCACAGAATTCCAACCGAAAAATCGCCAAATTTCTTCAGAATTCCCACAGAAAAGTTCCCGGATTTCGTCAGAATTCCCACTGTAAAATTCCCGGATTTCCACCGTTCCCAACCCGCACGGTGATGCTCAAGAACATCAAATAGGGAGAATTCCCAAATTCCCAGGAAAAATTCCCAAATTTCCATGGAATTCCAACCAGAAAAATCACGAAATTTCTACAGAATTCCCACGGAGAAATTCCCGGATTTCCACCGTTCCCAACGCGCACGGCGCTGCTCAAGAACATCAAATAGGGAGAATTCCCAAAAAATTCCCAAATTTTTGCAGAATTCCCATGGAAAAATTCCCAGAAAAATTCCCAAATTTCCACCATTTCCAACCTGCACCGCGCTGCTCAAGAACATAATTTCTGGGCATTTCTGGGTATTTATGGGTATTTATGGATATTTATGGGATTTAACAGGAATTTATGGGATTTAATGGGAATTTATGGGAATTTATGGAATTTTGTGGGAATTTATGGGAATTTATGGAATTTAATGGGAATTTATGGGATTTTGTGGGATTCAATGAATATTTATGGGATTTTATGGATATTTATGGGATTTTATGAGAATTTGTGGGAATTTATGGGATTTAATGGGAATTTATGGGAATTTATGGAATTTAATGGGAATTTATGTGATTTTGTGGGATTCAATGAATATTTATGGGATTTTATGGGTATTTATGGGATTTTGTGGGAATTTATGGGATTTTGTGGGAATTTATGGGATTTTGTGGGAATTTATGGGATTTTGTGGGTATTTATGGGATTTTGTGCATATTTATGGGAATTTATGGGAATTTATGGGATTTAATGAATATTTATGGGAATTTATGGGCATTAATGAATATTTATGGGATTTTGTGGGATTTAACGGATATTTATGGACATTTATGGGATTTTATGGATATTTACGGATATTTCCTGCTATTTATGGAATTTTCCGGGATTCCCTCCATCTCCAGACATTCCCCGCCCTTTTCCCAATCCAGGGATGATCCCAATCCCTCCGGGAATTTGGGATTTTTCCCTTTTTTCCCTGCTCCGTGCAATATTTGGGATTTTCCTTTCCATGGGATTTTCCCTCAAAACAGAAACAAATCCCAAAATTCCCGGGATTTTCCCCCTCCAGATCGTGGGAAATCTGGGATTTTTGGGAATCGTGGACAAACTCTTTTTCCTCTTTTCCGGTTCCTGACGCTGAAATTCCTTCCAGAAAAATC